GCCGATCGGCCTCGGCCCCCCCGCTCACGGGCGGGCTCCTGGCCCGCGCCCGTCCCCGGCGGCGGCCGGTGCGCGGCGGCGGCGGCGGCTGCTCCTCGTCGTCGTCGTCGTCGCCCGGGAGGCGGCCGCCCCCATCTCCCCCCGCGCCGCAGGGTCTGTCACTGCGGGCCGCCCCCCGACGGAGCCGCCCGGGCCATGCCGCCGCGCCGCCGCGCTGGGCCGACGGCCGTTACCCGGTACGGAGGCCGCGGCGCCTCGGGAGCGGCGCTCGGAGCGGGCTCGGGAGCAGGCTCGGGAGCGGGCGGCGGAGGGATCTGCGTCGGCACTTGCCACGGCCTCGCGCCTTTGCTCCCAGCGCCGCGGACGGATCCGGGCCGAGCGCCGCGTTCGCAGCTGACGGGCGCCGGGACAAGGCGCAAGTGGGCGGGGAGGCCGCCTCTCACGACAGCCAGGCGGCCGGGCCCGCCCCCCGAGCTGATTGGCTAGGGCTGCTCCTTCTCTGCCCATGATTGTTCCGCGTCCGCAATCCGATTCGCCCCTGGCCAGGCCACGCCTCCCTGGGGCTGTCGATCACGTTGGAACGGCCCCGTCCCGCCCCGCGGCGGCCGGCGGAGTCAATTGGCCGGCGGGCCGGGCGGGCCGAAAACCCGAGGCGGATTTCTGGTTGCTTTTGTTCACACAGATCTGCGTGGAGCGTTGTTTTAGGTGGAAGCGGGAGTCCGGGCTTCCCGTTTTATTCCTGAGCGTCACAGTAGGAAGGTAGCGAGTGTCTTCGAAAAGCCGCTGGAGCGGGGCTCCAGAGACCCGCGTCCCCATCCCCCCTCTGTCTCTGCGAAGCTGTGTGACCTTGGGCGAGTCGCTTGGCCTCTCTGAGCCCTGGGCACCTCCCCCGAAAATGAGGGTGATGACAACCGCCCCCGGGGCCCGTGAGAAAGTCGTGAGCTCACGGAGGCCCGGCGCCCTCACCTCTGAGGCGGCTGGCCTGCCTTGAGATGTGACGGGAACAAGCTCTGTGCGAAAACCGCATCCAAATTGAGGCATTAAGTCGGCCTCCTTTCAGCGGGTTGCTTCCTCAGCTCTGGGAACCGAGAGTATGCAAGCACACAGGCCAGGGTCAGGGAGCATTCGCATTGGCACGGATCCTGGGTTGGGGACAGGCGGGGGAGAAGCTGGTGGCCCAGCCACCTATAACCCTACAGCTGCAGGCAGCGGTCCGCCATCTCCAGAGAAGGAAACTGAGGACCGGGAGCAAGAAATTCATTCTTCCCTGCCCGTTCAGTAGAACCTTTCTTCTGATGTCCTGTGGTCTAGGACGGGCCCTGTTCCTGCATTTGTTCAGCAGCTCAACGGGGGCCTGGTGGACGCCAGCTTCTGAGCCCTGGGGGGCCCCTTGGGAACAAAGCCTGCCCTCCCGCCTTTGGAGCTGACAACCTGGTCCTGGGCAGTACACAATAGAGATTGATTGAATAAATGAATGCATTTCTTCAGGACATGGTCCAAGGTACTAGTAACTTCCTAACAAGACGTTCTGCAACCGCTGGACTTCAAAGTTGAACAGACATTGCAGAGCCATACTTGGGTTGGGGGAAGAAGATTTGCTTCCCGATCCCCCACCCCCTCCACTCCTGGGACAAACCTTCCCTGAACCACCTGGTGTTCTTGGCCAGTGTGGGAAGGAGCAGGCATCCAGGTGAAGGTCAGCATAGCTCCCCAAGTGTATTAGGTCCTCATAGGCAACACGGGCAAGGCTGGGTCCAGCTGGGTCTCCGCACCTTACTTCCCCAGTACAGACTAATTTCTACGAATAATTTAATCCTTGTTCTCTTCGACCTCACTTTCTCAAGTGATTCCAGGGAGGTAGCCGCATTCCAAAATCTACGACATGAGGAAGTGAAGGAACATGAAAAGCAAAACAGTTCAGCTTTGCTTTCTTTTGATAAATTAAGTTCCTTGGAATGGAAAGATCTTGGGACCTTATCGGTGCTGGGGTTTTCCTCAAACCCAGCCCTTCCTAGCTGTGAAATCCCTAAGCTCCAGTGCCAGTCGACCTGGATTCTACTCCCAGCTCTAGTGGGCTGTGTGACCTTGGCTGTACATTCAACCCCTCTGAGCCTCAGTTTCCTCATTTGTAAAAAGCAGCCGGGAACCCCGCCTCCCAGCTGGCAGTGGAGGTCAGAGATGCTAATGGGAGCCCTTGACAGCTGGGACAACTGAGCCACAAGTAACTGGATCAAGGTCTCCCAGCTCCCAGCCGCCTTCTTGCCACTTCTGCCTGTGCTATTTGCTATTTAATGTATGCCCTGGGGTGAAGGGTGTCCCCTAAAAGGTCCTGTTCACCCAGAACCTCAGACTGTGACTTTATTTGGAAATAGGGTCTTTGTAATTATAATTCGGATGAGAATCAAGATGAGATCATGGACTAGAGTGGGCCCTAAAGGAGAGTGTCCTTGTAAGAGACAGAAAAAAAACAGAGACTCGGGAAGAAAAAGCCATGCAAAGACAGAGGCAGAGCTTTGGAGCCAAGGGACACCTGGAGACACCAGGAGGTGGAAGAGGCAGGAAGGACCCTCCCCTGGAGCCTTCAGAGGGAGCATGGCCCAGCGGACACCTTGACTTTGAACTTCTGGCCTCCAGAACTGTAAAAGAATACATTTCTGTTATGTTAAGCCACCAAGTTTGTGGTGGTTTGTTACAGCAGCCCCAGGAAACTCATACAGTGTTGTTTCCCCCTCAACTTCAGCCTAGCTCAATTTAATTCAACAGATATTAAATCCCTGCCCTGCTGGACCAGACCCCACTAAGGGTTTGGGGCTTCTAAGGAGAAATGAGACCCAGGCCCCCCGACTCTAAGGAACTGACGGCCTGGACTCCCTGCTGTGAAGCAGCTGGGCCACCAGTCCACAAGGGAGCTTTCCCTTCCACACACTGTTCCCTTCCCCAGGGGCCTCCCAGGAGCGGAGCTGGTGGGCACTGACTCCCAGCCGGCCCTGAGGCTGCAGTTTTCTCTGTTTTTTCTGCTCTCCTTGCTCTCCCAGCCACCCGGGGATCCTTCCCTGAAACAGCCTCCAGCCCTGGGCTATTTGGAGCGTCTCACTTTCCCTTGCTCTGCAGCAGGTGACCCCTGGCTTCCACTGGGACTTGAGTGTTTCTCCAGCTGCTACAAAGTAGAGAGGCCAGGGACCCACGGCAGGAGATTGAAGGGGCATCCCTCCATGTGAGAGAAAGGAGGCTGCAGGTAACAGGGAGGTGGGGCTGTGTGTTCAGCAG